ACCCTCCAAGTGGCTGGAGCCGGGCTTGTCTGCCCCCATCTGAGTTAAAGCAGATATCATGTTTCTGAGTTCACGGTCAAGCTCGTGTGTGTTCTTCAAGTCGTCTTTGGTCGTGAAACTTTCTAGGAACCTCCTAGGTGTAACGATCCGAGGCTGCTACGAAATGATAGAGCTATCCCCACACACCAACACGGGACCTTTTAGCATGTTTTGTCCTCACTCGCACACATCCCGGAAAATACTTCCCAGGAGGTCACATATCCTAAGATTACTCCAAGGCCAGCACGCTTAACTTTGGAGTTCTCTCGAGATGGGCAACCGAAAAGGTAGATGCATCTTGTTGGTATGAGTAGCTCAACTAATTCCTTTAAGTTATCTTAGACTATGTAGTCTCATACCTACACAGCCCTCGGATCCCTCTCATTCCGGTGTGTCTGCTTCATCTTTGTACCCCCTACCCAGAAGCTCATCAGGAACCGCCCATTGTCCATGCCTCTCGCACCGGCGATCACTCCCCGCCCTCCTATGGTATTCTGGGCTGTCACACTAGGGATGTCCTTCTTTGATTTCCCGAACTTGTTTCGCCTCAAATCTCCCTGAATCTCTCTATTTTTCTCTGTCTTCGAAGAACAGGTTCTGGGTTGCAGAATGGTGATCTTCACCTGTTGGAGCCGGTTAAATCGACCTCTAACACCGCCATAGGAGCTAGGGAGAGGGTAGGAGGGCCAGAGGGTGTCGTCCACTGCGTCTGGGTGGCGTTCGTTTACGCGTGGGGTCGGTGTGTCGCGAGAAAATCGCGGCCGAAAATGGAAGAAAGTTAGAATTTTTGGCGACTTTTTCCCCAACTCTCAGACCGTCCGGTCTAGCTGTCGAACCGTCCGGTTTGGCTCGTGAACGTGCAAATCGATCGGTCTGCACTCTAGACCGCTCGGTCTAGACCTGATTTTTCGTCTTTTCTTCGTTTTTCCCTGGACCGATCGGTCTAGACCCATTTTTCATTCGTTTTTCGACGGTTTCGACGCGTTTTAGCCCCACTTGTCCTCTGATTCGATATTTATGCCAATCATCTTATATTTTAGGGTTGTTTTACCCTATTTTATTCCAGAAATTTAATTAAATAATTTTACTCGGGAATCGGAGTATTACACGGACGGTCTTCGTTATGCAGACCAGACGGTCTGCTACCCAGATCGAACGTTCTGGTCCATTTTCGTCCGTTTTTCTCGCTCGGTTCGGTCCAATCCTTCGGTTTAACTTGGTTTAGGTTTGGTTCAATATGCTAGGGCCATTTTTAAGCTTATATGAGGTCTCCTAAAGTTCGGTACGGATAACGAATTCATGGGTTATCACACACCACACTCCCTCTGAGTGTTAGTCCCCTATGACACGAAATCTACTGATTCAACACATAATCCGTGTGAATCTCCATTCTCATGTTCCAAGGCTCGTTCAAATTAATATTGAGAACTCTCCTTCAGAATAATCTCACTCACCAGAAATAAACTCGTAAAGAATAAATAACCTTGATACTCTCGGAATGGATATCTCTTTTTCTGTACTTCCTTTGTTCCTTTTGTCGTCCTTATATAGTCTTTTCTTTCGGCTCCAACTTCTTGTTGATTTGTTTCTATCTTTTTCCTCAAGGTTGTTATCCAAACTTTATCTTCAAGATTTTATCTTTATCTTTTCCACAAAATCAGTTTCGGCATAACCAAATTTGAAAACAAAAGAAAGCATAACTGGAGAGATACCTCCCAAAAGATTTTCAGCCAAAACAAAGAATTCCCTGGAAAAAAAAAACAAGGGGATAAAAAATTTAAAAAAAAAAACAACGGAAGGGTTTATTAAATTATTAGCACGAACACGTAGCTATCCCTCGCACAACCTACAAAAGGATTCAAAACAACTGTAATGATTTACAGGGTTTTAATCGAGCTCAGTTTCCTCTGCAAACAGATTTCATCCGAGAATGCAAAGAATATTTTCTTCAACAACAAAATTTCTCCTTACGTCAACCATTTCTCTTACACACAGTTACAATCTAGAACATGATATCACCCGCCATGTCGCACCACACCATAAAACCAGCAAAACAGGAACATGAATGCAAATTGTCCATCGTAATTTCATCACCAACCAAAAAGTTTACTGAATTTGGATTCGATTGAAAAAACTAAAATCTAATCACTAATTTCATATTCCCAATTGTAACCACGACAATTATTTGCATATCTCACTAAAGAAACATACAAACCAAATTTGCAAGAAACATGTACGAAGGTTAGAAAGGAACGAGAATCATCAAGAATCAATAGGAAAACATCGAAGAGCATAAGGCTTACCTCACCAGATCAGTATTGGTGCCACTGGAGTTCGCCGGAGTCCGATTTCAGTTCTGTGAACTGTGAAGAAGAACAAGAAAATTGTTTCGCAGGTGGGGAAGATGGAAGCGAGAAAGGCAATTTGGGTCACAGGCTCATTTATTAATGGGTCTGGTATGCATCGTATTTATTGGAGAAAATTGATAACGAGGCCCGATTTTAGGACCCAATTAATATTGTACATAGTACATTCAGGATGAGAAGAAGAGAGAAGGATCCAAGGGGAATCGTTATCTTCATCATCGACACCAGAATTACAGAGGGAATTGTGGAGAAAACCTGATCCCTCAAGTTTTGCGATCAGATCAGAAAAGCAATGAATAGGGAGGATTGTGTGGGTTGGGCTGCACGAGATTCATCCGGTCTTCTTTCTCCCTACTCATTCACTCGCAGGTCATTCACCTTCACATTATCCTTTTTTTTTTATCGATAATTTTATCCCATCACTGAACTTATGCTATAGCAAATTTAACCCAATTGTCTGTCCAGATCTGTTAATAACGATGATGTTTCTGTTGCAATTACCCACTGTGGAGTATGCTATGCTGATGTCATCTGGACCAGGAACAAGCATGGAGATTCTAAGTATCCATTGGTACCGGGGTAAGTAACTTCATCTATTACACGTATTTTCGTCTACGGAAACTGATAGAATGTCTGGTTCTCTTTCAAGGCATGAAATTGCTGGAATAGTCAAACAGGTCGGCTCCAATGTCCATCGATTCAAAGTAGGAGACCATGTTGGTGTGGGGACTTATGTCAACTCATGCAGGCAATGTGAGTATTGTAATGAAGGAGAGGAAGTTTCTTGCGTAGAGGGACGGGTTTTCACTTTCAATGCCATCGATGCTGATGGCTCTGTTACGAAAGGAGGTTATTCGAGCCACATCATCGTTCACGAGAGGTGTGTATGTGTGTGTATATATATATATTACCCGTTTGCTCTCTTCTTTCAAAACAGATTGATTAGTAGGAAGTCAATTTATCATCATTCAGTTTCTCCATCTCTCTTATTTCATATTTTCAGTCATTGTAAGCACGTGATCTCATGTCTCATCGCCCTTTTCCTGTTTCCTACACGCATCTTCAATAGGTACTGCTACAAGATACCCATGGACTACCCCTTGGCCTCAGCTGCGCCTTTACTTTGTGCTGGAATCACGGTTTATGCACCCATGATACGCCACCATATGAACCAACCTGGTAAATTACTTGGGGTCATCGGGCTTGGCGGTCTTGGCCACATGGCAGTTAAGTTTGGTAAGGCTTTTGGGCTGAATGTCACAGTTTTCAGCACGAGCCCGTCCAAGAAAGAGGAAGCTCTGAATCTGCTGGGAGCTGACAAATTCATCGTCTCATCTGACCAAGACCAGATGAAGGTATGCATGTGAATGAAAAATCCAAAAAACTTACTCGGGACATAAATTAATAGTATATGGGCAGACACAGGAGAAATCGTTGGACTTCATCATTGACACAGCATCCGGTGATCACCCGTTTGATCCATACATGTCGCTTTTGAAGATTGCTGGAATTTATGTCCTGGTTGGCTTCCCAAGTGAAATCAGAATCAGTCCTGCCAGCCTCAATCTTGGTATGTTTTCTGTAGTTGGTCAGGTAAGCAAAAACTAATGTTTTGGCACGTGTTAAAGCTCGTGTTAAAGCTCATGTTTCTGAGATTTGAACAGATAGGAGAATGCTTGCGGGCAGCTCAACTGGGGGTACCAAAGTGACTCAGGAAATGATAGATTTCTGCGCTGCTCAAAAGATTTATCCAAAGATAGAGTTAATTCCCATTCAGGAAATAAACAAAGCTCTGGAAAGGTTGGTAAAAAGGGACGTCAAGTACCGTTTCGTGATTGATATCGAGAGTTCTCTGAAATAGAAAAAAGAGATGTTTCCACAAGTACCTAATGTCCTCTGCTTCTGAACTCTTAACTCTGGAACTCTTCATGAAAAGGATCGATAGGAGTTTACATGTTTTGATTGGCATGTCTGCAAACTCTTAAGGCTAAGGAGTATGTTAGCATTACAGAAGGTGGTCAAGGCGAGAAGTTTGAAGAAGCTGAATATAAGATCGAAGGAAGTTTCTGAAGCAGTTATTTACAGTTTTCTTTCCTGTTTGTATTGAAGTTGTAACTACCTCCTCTCGATACTTTTCATTTCCGAAACAGAGTTCATAAGTCTCTTTTGCCAGAAACAGAACCAGTCCGAGAAAGAAACCAGGAACCAAAATATACATAAGCCTAATACGTATCAGAAATTCACAACATTTCACCAAAGACAACCCAAGAAGGACAGAACACGAAAAAAGAGGATTCGCAGATACATAGTATAATAGTTATGGGAGATTGACTTTGCCCTTGAGGCCATACATACGACCAGATGAATAGCATTTTTTTACGATAAAACCATGTCCTAGTGTGTGTGTAATCTGGGATAAATCTCGAAACTTTAAAATTAGACTTAAGGAATACATGTAGCACGCGCGCGTAAAGGTCTTCCTGAAGAGAAAGTGCTTGATATGCATTAGTTATCCGCTTATTTAGACAGACACGACAAGACAAAAGGGAAAACAGAGAGATAAAAACATGGGACGATGCATTTGTGGGCAGAGACATCAATCGGTGTGTTCAGAATCACGGCGGTTGTTTCTGGAGGCAACTTTTCCCTTCTTGGCCCTTGATTCCTTGGGCAAGAAAGGCTTCTCTGTATCGCCAGAGATGTCAAGATGAACGCCGGGATCGTGGGTCTCGTACTTGCCTCCCATCATAATTGAGTTGTTCACTGCTTGAAAGTTGCTGTTCACGAACGTGCTCAGGAAATCAAGATTGCCATCGCTGTCGCTGTCCCCTAATGCATCCCCATCGAGCTCCGTCTTCATGGTGGCTCCGATGTTGGAGCCAGAGAGTGTGATCACTCTCACGCCATGTTCGTCCTCATCCTCCAAGTGGCTGGAGCCGGGCTTGTCTGCCCCCATCTGAGTTAAAGCAGATATCATGTTTCTGAGTTCACGGTCAAATGGTTGTCGCTGCCTCTCTCCTTGGCCGCCTGAGTCGCTCAGCTTCATTCTTTTGTTATTTTTAGGAAAGACAAGCTGACTCTTTCCAATAGGAAAAAAAAAATCGGATTGAGAATGAGGAGAGGTGGAATGGGATTACATAAGTACATATAAATATAGCATACATGTAGAAGAAAGATATAAGCTAATGGTGCGTTGGAATAAAGGATGAGGGAATTAATTGCCTTCTGGTGCAATTAAAGCATCGGGGCTTGGTTGGATACTTGTCTAAGCCAAGGCAGAATTGCTTTCCAAAGGGTTCAAGAATCATTTTTTGTAATTCTCATAGCGTTCGAGTTCCCTAGACAAATAACTGGATTTGGAGGATCGATCCCAGCTATAGACAAGAACAACGAGAAAGAGTAACGGCTATAGCCATATAACTGGCGTGTTTATGATGTTTGTTGTTTAATGTGGAAGATTCTTATGTGTCAGGGATGTTTGAGTCCACTTTGGCTCAAATCTGATAGGTGAGCTAATGCTAGATGTGCTGATATCAAACACATTTAGTGTATCAGCGCTCCCAATTAACATAATTATTGGTAGGCTGTGTGTTTAGGATTTTGTCAGTGAGCATGTTTGGTTATACAGAGACCATATTTGGTCGTGCAGGAGTTATAAGTTATGAATCAGTGATCTATTTATGTACAATTAGATCCTTGGTGAAACGTAAAAACAATTTTTGCGGACGACTTAAACCTGACCAGTTTTTCAAAGCACGAGGCACTTAAACGTCCTGCAGTGTAAGGATAAAGATATTTCTTATCACTTTTGCATGATTAGTTTGTGAATTCCTTTTCCAATTGTGTGGGTTGAATAGAATGTTTGGTCAAAGGTTTCACAGAGCTAAGCCCATAGAAACAATAGGACAACACTGCGTGGCGCGGTAGTTGCGTGTCAAAGCAAGAAAAATTAAAGAGAAAGAAGCAAAGTGGTGACGGGAGGACGACATCCTTTTGGCATGACTGTTGGCTGGTCCCTAGGCCGATCATTGACATTGCAGGCCGGGACCGAGCCTACTTCAGATTCCACAAGGCAGCAAAGTTCGAGGTGCCGTTTCCGGGGGAAATTGGACAGTATGCGGGGCAGGATCGCAGCGGCTGCAAGAAATTCTAACGGCCCTAACAACTGTCCAAATTCCTGATGACGTGAAGGGACCAGACAAGCCGCTGTGGAAGCACAAAGATGGAGTGCATAAGGATTGGTTCTCCAATTCAAACATCTGGACACTACTTCGACAGCGGCATGCACATGGCATAAGATAGTATAATTTAAACATCATGTGCCACGTTTTTCTTTCTTGCTATGGGAAATTATGTTGTTGAGGTTGCCGACAAAGGATAGGCTAATACGATAGAGAATTTATGTAGGTCCACTCTCTGTGCTTTGCCAAAAGAATCCACAAACGCACCAACACATGTTTTTCGAGTGTGATTTCAGCTCAAGGCTATGGTTGACGATTGGGAACTTGATATAGCCTTCTCCTTCATTCAGTGTGTTCCAATGTAAGGAATGGATGACCGACAGTAGCAATGACATGAGTCATAGCAGGGCATTTCTAGGCTGTTTGATTTTACAGATTAGGGCGCACAAAATTTGGAAAGAGCGGAACAATATAGGACGGAGAGGAGCACGACGGACGTGATCCTACTGCGGATTGACCAAGTTTTGCGTAACATTCTAATCTCCATCACCATGGCCCAGAACAGTGGCGGCAAATCCACTCTACAAGACTGGTTTCTTTTGTGGGAAAGTATCCGAACGCATCATTGCTATGGCTAGTAACTCGCACACCACTTTCACATTTTGCTTGACATGGATATCCAATACAACTGTATGTTTTTGTAAAAATATTTTTATTCAATAGATAGATTCACCTTTCACCAAAAAAAATGGTGAAGAAGACGAACGGTGTTTTTTCGGCGACGTAGAAAGTGCAGGGTCTCCGAGATGCTCAAACCCTAAGAAAGTCCGAAGAGAAATGGAACAGGACAAACAGAGCGAGATGGGAGCGATGTCAATGGAGTCGCTTCCTCTGGGGTTCAGATTCAGACCCACCGACGTCATCCCTGAGGTTGACGTCAGCCTCAAGAACAAAATTTAAAAAAAAAAAATGGAAGTGGTCGATTCATCTCCTGTCCGCGATCTAATCTCAAGTCAAATAAAGGGCCTAGGTAATGTTAGTCCAACGTAAATGGGCTTGAAATAACGGGCCTTCCCTTCAGAGTTGTTCGGCTCTTCTTCTCCTCCTTCTGCCGGAAAGAGAGAAAAAAACAAAAACAGAAATGGAGGGCGTGGCGGAGGGCCTATGGGGGCTGGCGGATTACCACCAGAAGAAGGGTGATGTTGGGAAATCCATAAAGTGCTTGGAAGCAATCTGCCAGAGCCAAGTTTCGTTCCTTCCTCTTGTGGAAGTGAAATCTCGGCTGCGAGTGTCTTCGCTTCTCCTCCGCTACAGTGACAACGTGAACCACGCCAAGTCCCATCTCGAGCGATGCCTTCTCCTCCTCAAGTATATTCCTTCTTCCTTCGATCTCAAATTCAAGACTTACAGTTTGCTCAGCCATTGCTACCATATGTTCGGTCTTTGGGGTTTGGGTTTTTCATATATTCTTTGTCGGTTATTTCTCTATTTTGCATTTTGTGATTTTCTTCCTGTTTTTAATTATTATCCACTCTACATTACAACTTCACAGCAAGTGTGTTTTGCAATAGAAAGAAAAAAATAAATAAATAAGTTTTTGCTGATAATCTAGGTGTTGAATGGATGGGGTTTTTATTTTGAGTTTTTGGATTTAGTTTTTAGTTTTTAGATTTTAGTTTTTGGTTTTTGGCTTTTGGTTTTTATAGATTTGTAAATCTAAAAAAATATAGCTTTTAGTTTTTTCCCAGCCGATACGATCTCTGCCAGTCAGAGGCTGTCTGGTGATCAGACAATTGTTTCCAGCGGCGGTATCTTTGAACTGGGTTTCTTCAGACCAGGTACATCTTCTAAGTTCTACATAGGCATGTGGTACAAGCAAGTTTCTGAACAGACCATAGTTTGGGTGGCAAATCGAGAAAACCCTGTTTCTGATAAGCGTTCATCGATTCTAAAGATCTCCGACGGTAACTTAGTTCTGGTGGATGAATCTCAAGCGACAATCTGGGCTACCGATCTCAATTCTACTGGATCAGGCTCAGGCGCTGCAGTGCAAGCAGTTCTGCTTGACGATGGTAATTTTGTTCTTAGAGATGGACCTAATCCATCGGCCTCCGTGTTGTGGCAAAGTTTCGACCATCCATCACATACATGGCTTCCTGGTGTGAAAATTCGACTGGATAAACGCTCAAGGAAGAGCCAACGCCTCACTTCCTGGAAAAACCTGGAAGACCCTTCGCCGGGCCTCTTCTCTCTCGAGCTTGATCCAGATGGGAGCAACTCTTACATTATACTGTGGAACAGATCAAAGTCATTCTGGTCGAGTGGGTCATGGAATGATCAAAGTAAAATCTTCAGTGGAGTTCCTGAGATGAGACTCAATTATATCTATAACTTCAGCTTCGAATCAAATGCCAATGAGTCCTACTTCACCTATTCTCTTTACGATGCATCCATCATATCACGTTTCGTCATGGATATCTCAGGCCAGATAAAGCAGTTCACTTGGCTTAACAATAACAAGCAGTGGAACTTGTTCTGGTCTCAACCCAGGCAACAATGCGAGGTTCATGCTTACTGTGGGTCATTTGGTATTTGTGGTGAGAAATCGCAACCATTCTGCCAATGCGTGCATGGTTTCAGACCAGCATCCCAAGGGGACTGGGACCTGAAGGACTATTCTGGTGGCTGTATCAGGAATACTGAGCTCCAATGTCTCAATGCCACTCGTAATTCCAGAAAGAATGATTTTCTACCACTTCAAAACATGAAATTAGCTGCAGATCCTGAAAAGATGGCCACATCAAGCCTCAGCTTGTGTGCCTCAACTTGCATAACAAACTGTTCTTGCAAGGCCTATGCTTTTGATCACAACAACTGCTCAATATGGATAGGGGATGTCTTGAACCTGCAACAACTAGATGAAGACAACAGCAAGAGCCAGACATTTTATCTAAGACTTGCTACTTCAGACATTCCTGTCGGGTCTTCCAACAAGAGCAAGAATGACAAAGCTACTATCATTGGCGCGATTCTTGGATCGTTGGGGATAACAGCTCTCCTGAGCTTTGTGCTGACTGTAGTTCTAGTCCGCAGGAGGAGAAGAATGGAAGCACGGAAAGCCACAGAAGGTACACTGGTGGCGTTTTGTTACAGAGACTTACAAACCGCAACCAAGAATTTCTCTGACAAACTGGGCGGCGGAGGTTTTGGTTCAGTGTTCAAAGGGACGCTGCCAGATTCAAGTGCCATTGCTGTGAAGAAGCTCGAAAGCATCAGCCAGGGGGAGAAGCAATTCAGGACTGAAGTAAGCACTATTGGGACAATCCAACATGTCAATCTGGTGAGGCTTCGTGGGTTCTGCTCTGAGGGCAATACGAAGTTGTTGGTCTATGACCACATGCTTAACGGTTCTTTGGATTTTCATCTGTTCAATCAAATGGAACTGAAGACGCTAGACTGGAAAACAAGATATCAGATCGCACTAGGAACGGCTAGAGGGCTGGCTTACCTCCATGACGAATGCAGAGACTGCATTATTCATTGTGACATAAAGCCAGAGAATATCTTGTTGGACGCTCAGTTTTGCCCAAAAGTGGCGGATTTTGGCCTAGCGAAGCTTGTAGGTCGAGACTTCAGTAGGGTGCTCACGACCATGAGGGGCACAAGAGGCTACCTCGCACCAGAATGGATCTCAGGCGTCGCCATAACAGCAAAAGCTGATGTTTACAGCTACGGGATGATGCTTTTTGAGTTTGTGTCAGGAAGAAGAAACACTGAGCAGTCTGGAGATGGAAAAGTCAATTTCTTCCCATCATGGGCTGCAACTGTGTTGACTGGTGGCGGTGATGTCCTCTCCTTACTAGACCCACGGTTGGATGGGAATGCGGATGCGGAGGAGCTTTCAAGGATATGTAAAGTAGCGTGTTGGTGCATACAAGATGATGAGAATCACAGGCCAACAATGAGTCAAGTAGTTCAAATCATCGAGGGGGTTTTGGACGTAAATCCACCACCGTTCCCGAGATCAATCCAAGTGTTCATGGAGAATGAAGAAACTGTAATCTTCTTCACTGAGTCATCGTCGAGCCAGAGTTCACAGCAGCAGAGCCTGTCTTCTTCGACCAATACCAACAACTCAGCAGCAAATTAGTTCATAGAAGGAATTTGTTTGAGTTGGATTGGAGTAGCTTATATGCGTGTTCCAACGCGTAGAAGTAATCACAGTTTTTAGAATGAAAAAGAGTGGGGAATACTGCTGTCGATATTAAGTTAATATTATTAACTAGTATGAATAATTCTCAGATGTGAGAAATATCAATCTTGATTTGTATTTCGTAGTAGCTTTAACGAAACATTTAGGTTGTTAATTTACTGTTCTGGCTCACTCACGAGATCTGTACCTGTGGTGTACCATAACATGGTTGTCCTCCCGCCTCCGATCCCGTCTGTATCTGGATGACCCTCTTCCTACGTTTCTTGTAAGGAAAAGCAACGTACTTTTTGGTCGTAATTAAACTTCAGAGTGCTGCAAGGGCTCGAGCCCTCGCAAAGGGAGGGAGTCCGGTGGAGATGTGGTTCGGCAGAGGACCGAGGAAGCTTCTAAGACCTACAACTTCTGGTAGCGATGTTCGTTGAGGTACATGTCCAGAAAACGAGCCGTCGACGTTCGGAAGATGAACCCTAAGCTTCCAATCCAAGAAGCGTACACCATTTCCAACTCTATCTACCCCACCTCATCAAGCAACATAACCCACTTTCCGTCCCCAACACTTGATCCGCGCCAAGGTCTTCCCTTTCTCCCTTTCGTCTTACGACTCCTCAAGTTTTCCATTTTTTTTAAACCCTTTTATGGTCTGATTCGTTTCATGTTGCCTTTACTGTCTCTTGTCTTCCCATCCCTTTCAATCTTGTGCAAATTGTTTCAAACTTAACACGTTTTTTCTTGTCTTGGACCAAAGCCGGGATATTGATTTTCAGTTGTCCCTTTGTGAAGTATGTCTACGGGTTCTATGATTTCGATATTCAAATGAATTATCCACTTTTTGGCAAGTTAGCTTCTGTTTTTCGTCCCATAAAAAAAAAGATAGCTTCTGTTTGTTTTCCCCGCTATACATATCATATAATGCTGCTTATTACCAATGTTACGTATCCACTTTTGTCCGAGCGTATTGGTTGTTCACCTCTTGCGTAACATCTAAACCTGGATACGGGGTTGGCCCAGCTGGTCTTTTTAGCATGTGACATGTTCGATGTGTGGGAAAGCGATTGAAATGCTCTGTTTTCAGGTTGATCCAGCATGATTAAAACCTACTCAATACATTTGGTCATAGGTTGAATTGTTTGTTGTTAAATGCATGTTACGTGAAACGGAAGCAGGTGTTTGTGGGCTGAACAGCAAAAGGCACCTGAAATTAATATACTCAAGTTGATGGGAGGGAGAAATATGCTCAAGTATATTGATTTGTGTTATTTATCGACGTCATTTGGCATGCTTATAGGACATTGTCGATTAGAATTTTGGCCCCTGATTGAAACCTCTTCAGGTCTGAACTTTGAAATATTTTAAGTAGATCCTGCCTTGCTCTCTTGTTGGGCCAATTAATTTTGATGGGTCATTTTAGGGCTTGTAGTCCAACACTTGTTAAGAATATATGCTCGCTCGTGCGTTGACGTCCATTTTGTTGTTCATATTTATACGACAGACGAAATGCTTCATGCATTTTACACAGACCTTACGAGAAACCTCGAAACTGTTGGCCTCCAATTTATTTAATGTTGATATATAAGACAAACAAGGATTATCGCAGCTACAGTAAGTGAAAGCAAGATCCTTTAGAAGATATCCATATCCATATCCATAGAATTAACAAGCACGCCATCGTCATCCCACTTAATATCTCTGGCATTGGGATCTTTCTCAATTATTCTTAATGGCGCATCTAACGGTGGGGGGTCCTGCGGGTATTCAATAGACGCAAAAATATTAGATGGGTAAGAACCATGATGGACGTAAAATATACAAGTTAAAGCAAGAAAAAGTTAAAATTTTTTTGTTTGTTTTACCAAGCAGCGGATAAGGGGCCAACTGATTCCACGGAAAAAAGCATGCTGTTTTATCTCGTTTGCACCACTTTTGGATCCTAAACGATTAGCTGGATCGCGGTTTAACAAGGCATTGATCAATTGCCTGGCTGCAAGACTTACCTGCACAACCATGGAACCAATGTCACCATATTGCCCCATATATATATATATATATATATATATATATATGACAGGGCAGTCTTTCACAAGAACGAGATATTTCAGAGTAGTCAATTGGGTTGGGTTAAATAGGTTAATCCAACCCAACCCAATAATAATGGATTAGATGAGTTTAACTGAATTTACCCACTAAACTCATTATAAACTCCTTATACAATTAAACCTATTTAAAACCGAATCCAAATCGCCTCGGAATTGGATGACTACTTATGTCAATACCGGATTCAAATGGCCTCTGAATCAACCGAAGTCCTATGTCTGAATTCGAATGGGATCCGACTCGAATAAGAAATCGAATTCGAATCGAACCGAAATCTTTTATAAAAAAAAAAAATCCAAATTGAAATTGAATCAAATGGAATCCTGTAAAATTTTATTTACAATAGATCAATATTATATTTGAAAGTGTAGATCTACTTTATTTAATTTTTTATAATATTTTGATTAGTAATATATAACGACATAATGATTAAATCAATTAGAATTGGGTCCAAATGAATTAAGATTAATCAATTCTATTTGGTTTTCAAGATATTATTATTGGTTTGGGTTATTCCAACCCAGAAAAAATGGGTTGGGGATATTTCGGCAGACTAACAATCCTCATTTCTTGTCTAATATACTGTTAGCGAACAATAAATATCCTGTGATATAGGTAACATGACTCAGAAACTTACAGGAATGCTAGTCGGGAAAGTAAGATCCTTGTGCAAAATGTTGGCAAATGTCTTCTGCCTGTTTTTACCCCTAAAAGGTGTGCGTCCATAAAGCATCTCGTACAATAAAATGCCTACACATATACAGTAGATGATAATTTCAAAACATACGTCAAGGAGCATAATTCCTTCCACTAAGATACACAACAAATACTCTGATGAAATGCTTCAAAAGTAAATTAGGATAACGCACCAAGAGCCCACCAATCAATACCACTCGTGTGACCGGCACCAGTAATTATCTCCTGGAATAAGGTAGACATTGAAACATGTGGTTTGGGTCACAAACACAAGGAGATATAGCAATAAAGGTGAACGTCAACATGAAATGCTTCACCGTACAGGCGCAATATATTCTTCGGTACCCACGAATGAGTTTGATTGGGTAACAGGTTCTGCGACAAAAGTGGGCAGCGGTTGACTCCTGGACCTCCTCCGACTGTTGGGTGATGAAGGGGTTATTATCTGCATATAAGAAGATTGTCTTTTTAGATTTGCACATAAAGCAGATATTGGAAAATGAGCATTTGCTGCATCATTTTGGTCTGATACCTGCGGTCTGCAGGACGTCATAAATGATAAGTCAAAGTCAGCTAAGACAACATGCCCGTCCTTCTGAAGCAGAATATTTTCGGGCTTCAAGTCCCGATATACAATTCCTGTTTCAATCCATAGAACCAATTTTAATTGAATAACACTACTCAACAAGTAAAAAAACAATGAATTCTTCACTTTCCAGGAGTCAAATTACCTAAGCAATGAAGATATTCTAAGCCGATAACCACCTCCGCTGCAAAGAACCTATTAATAACCATGCATTAATGGTCAATTTAGTTGATTCACAGTGGTTATATGCCCTATGCATAAGTGAGTATTGAGTGCTTATTTTCCTCTTCTTCCAAATCATCGGCGTTTTTACTCGGAACCGCCCGCCCACAAGTACTCGTCTCATTGGCACCAGGTACATCACCTCCGGAAACCCGAGCTTCCGGTTCGAGGCCAGGTTCTGTCCGGTGAAAACTCGAACACGCATGTCACTCGGGAAAGGGAAAAGGAGGAGAGGGGGAGAGACCGAGCCACCGAGGGGCGAGGCTGAGGTCAAGAGAGGAGGTTGGAATCACGAGGCGAGGTGAGGCTGAGGTCCCGTCCCTGCCTCCTCTGCCTCAACCTTGCTCCCTCGCCCTCTCGCGCTCAACCCATCTCACCACCTTGCCCTGAGCCTCGCTTGTCACAAGCCTCGTCCCCTCACCCCAAGCCTAGCCCTCACCATTCATTTATGTTCACTACATAACCAATGAAAAAGGGGTACCTTGCCGATTCTTCTTTAAATATTTTCATAGGTTGTCTGTCAAGCAAGGCAAACAATTCTCCACCATGACAGAAATCTGTTATCAAACAAACATGCGTAGATGTCTGGGGAAACAAAAAGCAAAACTATGAGCATTTGTTCAAATAGTAGAAATGAGGATTTAAAATATATACATAAAGAACCTTGAGCGAGCAAGATCCAAAGGGAATAAGAATTAATGGGACGTCAAAACAAATCAGGCTAATATCCTTGTTCTGGTGAAAGTTTTATAGTCATCCCTCACATTAATCTACATCACATCACAATATGCCTGGACCAAACTTTATTAAGTAAACCCACCCCAAAGGCAAGTGTTTAAGGAGAAGGTGCTCAAACTCTTGTGAGTTTTGAACCAACTAAATAGTTAGTCAACATGGAACCATATTGCACTACCACATTTGCTTCTCAATACTCTACTTTGACCGCTCCTCTTCCTAAGCCGCTCATTCACACTACGACCAAATGAGCAAAAACAATCCCCCACCATCCTTAAGCTAGCTTTGAAAATTGAGATGCAGCTGTACAGTTAGCATAGACCAAAACGTAAAACAAACATGTGTTTGAATGTCTATACGATCCAAATGAAGGCAATCTTGTATCTAGACATGACAAGCATGATCGAACAACAAGAATACGAATGTGAAATTTGTTGCTAAAAGGCATGAGACCTGAAAGGAAGCGTAGAGGGTGGGAAGGAATGGATGATCCAAAAGAGAAATGATCTCCCTTTCAATGCATGCTCGGTGAGCCTGTGGAAAACTGCATGTTGTCAGATTATTTGATTCAAAGAGGGAGGACGATTTTTGGTTTTCCCTTTCAAAGAACAAATTCTCATGTACCTTGTTACGATTTAGCATCATTGTTTTCTCCATTGCCTTCATAGCAAACAATTCACCTGTACCTTTCAGTTCAACCAAATGGACGCTTTGGAGGAACGGTCCATGATAAGTAAGGAACAAAAGTTAGGTGTCTGACTTTTAGCTTGAAGAGAGATGAAACAAGAGAATGTGCCAATGTGGTACCTCCCAGTGTCACCGCAGCCCAATGGTTTTATTGGCTTGAAATGGTGGAGTCCAAGTTTTTCGCCGGCAGCTTGGATCTGTACAAGATTTTAACGCAATAATCAGAGGTTGTGAAGCTAAGTATGATGGAAAAGAGATAGACATGGAGCCATGCCTTTTGTATCGCTTTCCAGGACGGATTCTCCCTTTTGTGAGGGAGAGGATGGACAGGCTTAGAATGTGCATCCCATAAGTCTTCAGGTCGCTGGAAAACATTATGGCCAAGTAGGCATGGCTTATGGGCTGATAAACTGGTGAAAATATGCAGCAAGAGATAGAATACCTTACCAAGTTGGCATCGGGGAGTTCTCTAACGGCTTCATCTACATTTTCCGCAGTAGCTTTCACCTGAGAGTAAGAAGCAACAAGAAAGTTCTCTTTTAGCTCTTGTTCCAACTACTCCCATTACTGTAACCAAGTCTATGACACTACCAGTTTAGCGCTTTGCTGCTCTGTTCTCTCAGAGAGACGATTCCTTAAGGGCTCCACATGGTCACTACCATCTAGTTGGACACCAATGAAGTACTGAAGCTCACCCTAATAAAGAGAAGGGAACAGCGTAATCAGCAGTTATGTAAAATCCACCTAGCATATACAATTATCTTTATCAATAATTTTAGTTCGACCTTCTGATCACGCATAGGTTGCAAGTGGAATAAGTTCCAGAATTTCTTTCCTGCGAACATGTAGAGTTTTGATGATTCAACTAATTGTGGTAAATAGAGATAATTATGCGACTAATGTTAGCAATCAGATTCGCTTTAACATGCATCTAATTACCGCTC